TGTCAGCGCAACCATGAAGTTTATGTATTTGATTGTATTTGTAGATATTTGATGGTATTTGTAGAATGGATACCTCTCCCTATATACATACCGTATATACAGTGTCAATATTGGATCATGTCGGTGCCCACTGCATGGTTGCAAGCTACACGCAACATAACAATCACAGGAGATTCTGAGATCTCGGTGATACAAATAATCAATCCATCAAATCCCAATCACTCTCGTTGGATTTGCATCCCAAAAACAATGGTGGTGTCTCGATTGGATTCACGTCAAAAATGCTCACCTTGGGCAAAACACAAGGTTGATCCGCACACTGCAATAGGGCATGGTCCCATTCACCAGGGCCTGCCAAATTCGTGTGAAAGGGCAACATGGGACACGCAATGAAATCCGCCCGCACCGAACGTGCTGGGGCGTGCGTATCCGGATGGCATAGCCAATCGCAAGGCTTCAGCTTTAGCTCGGGGGTCCATTATCGGGCAAGAAAGCCGAGTTTTTGAAGGTTGTTGAAAACCGACTGTCACGCAACTTTTTGGGGCGTTCTTGACAAAGTTTAAGAAAAGAAAACATACAGAACGTTGGGTGTTTGAAGATTTGGTTAAAAATAGCCAGGTAGAGCCAGCATAAACAAACATCAGCGGCTTCCTGGTACAGCTTTAGCTGGCTAGGGGTTCGTTTTAGTCAGGTAGAGCCGGGACGGTGGGACACCAGTACAACTATACTGTACTACTGATACCACGGCAAAATAGGAAAGGAAAGAAAACAGCAAAATAGTTGAAAGACTGTAGCTGGGTTCAGCAGATAGCCCTTCGTGGATGTTGTTTCTGAAGCGCCCCAATCTCTATGACATTTCTCCCGGTGGGGGCGGACCCAGCCACGTAGCGGCGCGGTTACGTTACATGGCCGCTATAAGTTAAGCTCAGAGTCTTCCTTCTGCATCTTTCTCAAATCTGTGCAAGTTGCACCAACCATCTCTGCTTCTGCCTTCCTCTTGGTTCCAGACATGCTGCAAAGACTCAGGACTTGGGAAGCTAAACTACACTTCACTTAGCACTGGGGCCCAAATCGGCAAGCGTCATTCGGAACCGAACTGGGTCATGCTCCAGTTAACACAATGTGGAAGCAAGCCTCACTATGATCAACATACGAATGCAAAGGATGGCATCCCTTGAAGTCCTGTCACCAGTCTCCTCACCTTCCCTTCCTCAGGATTCCTCTCAGTGTCCGACAGTGGCATCAAAACCATCTCCGTCGAGCCTCAGCTTGTGAAACTGCCCATCCATCTTGATTCTCCGACCGTCTCGGGTGTTGGTCATGTAGACCCTTGATTAATAGAGCCATACTAAATATAAATAGGCTGTTCCATTCAATTGGGGGGGCTTTACTAATCAAGAGTCCACATGATGTTTGATGTTCGAAGCTTCCGAAAGCATTCCCATCACCAGAACATCCGTGCCTGATAGGTCGCTCCGACCGGTCGGCGACCCGAAGGCGGAATCAGCCCTTGTTTTCTGCTCCATCCATTCTGCAATCTGGAAAACTGGTTTTATCCATCCGCACTTGAGGCGGCTGGTTCCGCGACGGTGAACGGCGAATTGGGGCGCGAGAGGTTGTCGCAGCCCGAGCTTTGAAAGCCAAGCCCTTTGCAGACTGACTCTCTCTTCCATACATTTTTAGAGGGTTAAGTCTAATTGCATTCAAAAACCATCAAAAAAAACGATCCTTACAGCACATGGTAATCCGTAGTAATCCTGGATTTTGATGTGGGGCTTCCCCAGGGTGCAAAGATTTCCCAACACCCACTGTGAAAGTGGCTAACAGGTTAACTCGGGCTTCCCGCGCGTGCGGGTCAGGTCCCACACTCTGACCGCAACCACAAAAAATTGGGAAAATGCGCGGTTCCTTGGCCGAAGGCCTCCAACACCTCCAACAGCAGTCTGCGGCGGATGTCTTCATGTCCCAGAATCTTGGTGCAAGTTGCGACACACACACACACACACTTATAGAAATGCGTGCTTGTTTGAATTCGGTTGCCACACAGGCAACCATTTCCTGAGTACAGGTTCAAACCCAACGGATGGTGGGGGGCCTTCAAACGGAGGTGAGGCCCAAAGCGCAAGCACAAAGTCGACGAGATCGGATCGACAAGATGACGGCGGCCGTGCACATCTGCAGAACTCACTAGTACTTTACAGGAAGAATTGGAGCAACAGCTTGGACAACACTTCAAACAAGCAGGTACACCAGGTTGATCAGACCTGGCTTCCACCATCACGCATAGCTTCGTTGGCATGCGTTTGCGTGATGGCCGCATGCCCCCTGCTGAAAAAGAAAAGAATCCAAAAGGAACCTTGTGACTCCAAAGGTCACACACACACACACGCCTCCCCGAGGGGAGGCGTTCCTTTTCAATTAAGCTCCGGACAAGGGTAAGGTTGGGTGAAAATTGACCCTACGAGAAGCGGTGAATCTCACGAAAGGTCTGGTAGGCGGTCAAGGACAAACGGAGTTGTCCAATGGCGTCATCGTGAAGACGTGGAGCGATAGTCGCCAGGACACACACACACACACATATATATATATATATAATATATATAGTGCAAGCACTTCGAAACTCTGAAACGACAAACGGAAGTGGCGGTGTGACTTGTCACCTTGCTAAATACTCCAACCCAGCTATCCTCTTTGTGGAATCAGTTGTGAAATTTCTGCATGTGTATCGTTGTCTTCGCAATTGCCGCATGGAGCTGGACTGGTGAGGTGGATCGGTCAGGATCAAAGGCATGGGCACAAAAGGCCCAAGGCATCCCAAGGCACTATGGGAAGGCCACAAGGTGCCTCCAAAAAATGCGAGATTTCAGGATGACCCCGTGCAGGGCAAGGTTGCTTCGCAAAGATCATGCTTGATCAACAATGAGCACCACAACAGCTTAGTGCAGGAAGTCCCACCCTGACCACAGTTCTTGAGAAAGGACCATACATCTGTCCGCACTACTACTCTAGGTCCTAGGTGTGGATGCACGCACATGAAATAATTCATGCAATTCTAACAGTTTCTCAGTTGGTCATAGGGTCGTAGTGGTGCAAGAGCACAGTTGTTCCAGGCGTTCCCTACTACGCTCACTTGTGCACAAATTCCGCGTCTGAAAGCCCTTCCGCGCTAGACTCGTGGGGTCTTTGTCCATAGGGAAACGTAGCAAGTAGGAATAATGAATAAAGGACATCCTAAGTATAAACACGTATAAACTATAAATACAGTTGTAAAACATTTGTTGGTGAACTGTTTACACTATCATACATGGATATGTTCAATTCCAACGTATCCTCCGAAAATGCTCTTGTTGTATGCATGTCGAATGCAAATAAACTTGCCACATCTAGTGATTCACTGTGCCGAACGGCGGTCTGTGGCTTGCAATAAAAGATGTAGTCATTGAATATCATTTCGGGACAAGGTTGTCGCAGGTGCGAGTGCTGGTTCCACCTGGGAGGAGGTAAATGGACTGGACGTCATTATATATGCAAATGAAGGCCGAAGGCATTCGAGGGTCTTAAAACCTAGACGCAAAGCGATATCGCCTTGCAAGACGGAGCTGCCTTTTTCAGGCAAAAGTATTGTTGATGGACGAAATCCTGCACCTCCATTGTTGATGACTCCATCGAGGGTCATGTAGCAACCCCCATGCTCCCGCAGCGTATCGGCGCTACGTCTTGAGGTGGTGCGGGATTCTGTTAAAGATGTTAACGAGGGAGAATGAGGGCAGCGAGAAGAGTGTACACACAGTGGTGCAAACTTCGTGTCCATTAACCATAGTTCACCCCCCACACACAAAAATACAGACACTAAACTTGACCGGACCCAAACAAAGTCCCGAAAGTTTAAGATGTAAAACGTCCAGTGACTTGAGCTACAGAACCGTTGTCAAGGTCAAACCGTCAAACAGTTGTAATATGTTGTAATTTGTCCCTTTGACCCACTCGGATCATCCTGCAATGCTGCCTGCCGTCAGCTGCCTGCCGTCTCAGGGGCACAGGAAGGTCAACTCGTACGTCGTGCCATGAGGACAGTTGAAGTTCCCGTTCCTCCAGGCGACCGTGGAACTCAAACAGTTAGTGCTGAACTCAAACAGTTTGTGTGGGCTACTGGAAACAAGTGCCACGCTAGGGGTGCGATCCATGGAGCTTAGGGGTGCCCACTGTCCACTTAATTAGGGACTAAACACAACATAACACAACCCCGTCCTGTGACTCCTGGAAGTAATGCTTAAATAATCACATCAATGACACGATTAAACACCTCTGCACCCCTTCCCCGAGTGGTAGGACATCTGAGACTGCCAGGATTCTTGTCATCCAGGTCGTAGGCATATGTCCTGCTGAGATGTGAGCAGGGACCCAAGCACTTCTGGCAAGAATGGGGACCTTGTGGAGACCCCTTTTTCTGTCTTCTTGTGGGTGGAGGGGCCATCTGTCCATGCTTCAGGCCACCGATAGTTGGCTGTCGGAACAAGTTATTCCAGCGAAAAAATCACCACTTGAAGAAGACAGCTTCACATCATGTGAAGACTCAAGGGTTTTCAAGAGATCTCCCAACAGGCTGCAAAAAGACCTGGAAGCCCCAAACGCTGGAGTCTGGAGGTTACGTTCCATGTTTGCTGCCTCGTGTTGCACCTACAAGCATCTGGCTACTTAGGCTATACCCTCACCAAGCTACCATCCAATGGACAAATCAAAATCCGAGACATGCACCGATTCGCCACATTCCGCAGCCACAAAAAAAACAGACACGTAGATTTGGACAGGACTCAAATGGTTTCAATCATCCATCATCCATCATCCATCCTCTGAGCACCCTTGTGACTCAGGAGGTCAGTCCTGGGACAGCGCTGATGGACCAGGTCGATGTAGCTCCTTGAGCCCCGCCCAGGGCGCCCTCGCGCGTGGCAGCCCAGCAGCCTGTAGCATCTCTCAAAACCGGGATTGGAAGTTGTGCTTCAGTATGTTGGGCTGGTGTGGGTTTGCACGCTGCTGGCAAGGTGCTTGTGTAGGGTTGAGTTTGGGGAGTGTGACCCTACTGTGTGAGGATAGCTGTTCTTATTTTTGGGGGTGGGGGACCCTGGGAGTAAAAAAACAGAAGGGTGGGTGAGGGGGGGGGAGAGTATGCATATTGTAGAAACGTGCGTTTTTTGCACTCTCTACTTCAAAGCCTTCTATCTGCTGCTGAAATGCTGAAAATTACAATATAAACAAGCAATCTCTCTTGCATTGATAGGCTTGTGAAAGTTGTTCTTTTGTAAGCATTGATAGGCTTGTGAAAGTTGTTCTTTTGTAAGGTTTTGTTCTTTATGGTGAATGATATCTTTTTAATAGGGTTGTGAAATTTGTAAGTTTCCTGCTCTATATGCAATTGGTAAAAAAAAAAATATTCATTCAATTATGAATTATAGAAATGATTAAATCCATAAGCTAGGTGTTTACCAAATAGTCCCCATGCAAAATCATATTTCTTTCTTTTAGAGTGTGAATTGTATTGCTCTTATTAAATGCAGTTGGGTAAATACATCAGAATTAGAAGGCAAATAGTTATGAATCCTAAATAGCTAAATGTTATTTTGATTCTTATTCAATTCAAATTCAAATCTATATGTCAATTCAGGATCAATTCTATTTCAATTATATTTCAATTCTATTTTGCTTCAAATTTCCTTCATTGGGAATCAATGCAAGCCAAATTATAATTCGATTTTACCTTTAATTTCATTATTATATAGTTCAGATTCAATTCTAATATTTCATTAGTGTTGAATTATTTTTTTTTATGAAATTCGCATTTATTTCCAGGGAATTGACCTTGCTTTGAACATAAAAGATTTTAATGAAATTTTTCCAATATGGAAGTAAATTATTTCTTTAATGAAATATATTCATACCACCAATAATATTCATTCTCTAGAATGGAAGCAAAACTCAATTAGAATTCCATTTGCATTGAATTGGAATCAAGTTAGAAAATTAGATATATAGGTCAATTGTATTTAAGTTATATAAAGACGTTAACATTAGAAATCATTAACAAATCAATTGGAAATTGGAATAGACAAAATTACAAGTTTTAATGCAAAACAAAATTAATAGACTTAAATGAGAAATAGATTGGAATTAAATTGGAATTGAATGAATAATATTAAATCAAAATCCATTATTCAAATTGAAATTGACCTAGACCTAAGGTAGAATTGAATTAAAGATATTTAACCTAGGAATTAATTAATAGAACAATATTGCGATATTGATATAAAATTAGGTTACAAATAATTCAATTTAATGAAAATTGCAAATTCATTTTGAATTCCAATAAATAGAATGCTAATATATTCAATTTGGAATTAAATTGTAAATATATTGCAAATTCACATATAAATTCAATTTGGAAGTGAATATTAGATTCAGAATAATCAAAGATAATTACAATTGCAACAAAATTGAATCAGAATAAAATTGCATTATAATTTGATTATAATGAATTTTAAAAATACATAAACTTAATTTAGAATTTAATTAGGTTCAATTTAGAATTAAAATAGAAGTCTATTACATATTCAAAACAAATTCAATTTAAAATTCATTTAGATCCAATTTTATTATCAATAAAAATAGAAATGAAACAAATTCAATTAGAATAAATATTGATTTAGAATTGTTAAATTGTATTTAAGTCAAAATTCATAGAATTAAATTAGAATTGAGTTAATAACTATGTAGAAATGAATAAGAAATAGTGTTTATTTCCTTTTTAGCAGACCAGCAAAAAAATCAGACCCATGGAGAGGGACCCAGGAGAGATTGGACAGAAGACATAGGTCCAACAAGTTCAGACTCATGGAGGGGGACCCAGGAGAGGCTAGACAGGAGACACGGGTCTGATTTTGTATTTGTTTGTTTTTGTATTTTTTGGGTGGACCAACGAAAATACAAAAAATCAGACCCATGGAGAGGGACCCAGGAAAGGCTAAACAGGAGACAACCAAAACTGCAGACCACATGTCCACAGATTCAAACCCGAGCCCCAATGGGGTCTGCAGTATTTTTGTTTTTTTGGATTTTCAAGGTTTTTGCATGGTCTGCTCCAGATGGCCAGAACCTCGAAAATCAAAAAACAAAAACAAAAAAAACTGCAGACCACATGTCCACCGAGTCAGACAAGAGCCCCAATGGGGTCTGCAGTTTTGTTTTTTTTTGATTTTCGAGGTTTTTGCATGGTCTGCTCCAGATGGCCAGAACCTCGAAAATCCAAAAAGAAACAAAACAACAAAACTGCAGACCACATGTCCACAGAGTCAGACAAGAGCCCCAATGGGGTCTGCAGTTTTGGATTTTTTTTTTTTGATTTTCGAGGTTTTTGCATGGTTTGCTTTGCTGTATACTGTTGTTATCACATCAAATTGCCCTTTACTCTGCGAAATCCATGTAGAACCCTTCAAAACCTTGCACAATCAAAACGTTCACATCTCCCCCCCCCCTCACCCCCCGCTCTCTAAAAAAAATTCTCGTTTCACCATGGAATGGATGTGCATGCAGGCTACTCTGATTCCACAGCACTGGTTCTAATGCGGCGTTGCAATCGAAGGATCTTGGAGCATCAGTTTGCAAGGTTCTGCTTCTAGGACGCTACTAGGGGCTCCTGGCCTTACTACTAGGAGCAAGAACGCTACTAGGAGCAAAGGGCATCGCTACGAACGGAGCAAAGGACGCTTCTAGGGGTGTTGATCCTTCAGGATTTCCAAAACGAATGCTGAGGATGAGCAGGTACGACCGTTCCGAAGTCAGCATCCGAGCGTTCCCGTTCCGACGTCCCATCGCAAGAACCGGTCTATGCTAGAGCGCCGTTAGGGCCTAGAGCCTGGTCCACTTCCAGTCGACCCCCAGTCGAAAGCTGCCCAAACGGTCATCCCTGGTTTTCCCTTGACTTACGCCAGTCTCGCCAGGGATGGAAGCATGTGGCATGTTTTGTTGCATCGTTTTTCCACGGCAAAGTCTAAAGGTCAGAGTCCCTGTGTTTCAGGACTCTGCAGCTGGATCTGCTCAAACGGCGGAACGACCGACTGCGAATCCAAAAAAAACAAGGGAGTTGCAAGGTGGGCGACTGAACAATTCACACTCAGCGAGGCAAAAGGGCAAAGATAAAAACACACTTGGCATGGATAGCACAATGAGAAGGACCAGTTCCCGCGGCCGTAGCTTGCGCACAGGCGGATACAGCCGCTGTGGCTGCCAAAGCAACCTCCTAATCCTCGTTAAACCACGTTCAAATCCACAGCATGCCGGATAATAACCACCAACAAAGGTCAAAAAATAGTGACTTATGCTACAGGACCGCCCCTAGTATAATATTATATATAGTTATATATGCTTGAAACCATCTTCCAGATTACGCTTGCTTGTGGAAAGCTATGAAAGGCCTCAAGCAAAAGACAAGGTCTCAATAATGTCCATAGCTGGCTGGGAACATGTTCCAGGCATTTCACAGTTTACATGTGCCTGATCATTAAGCTACGATTCGTCCAACCAACGCCCATTTCCTCGCCCACCTTGCATCGGTGTGTTGGCAGCTTCGCTGCGATTAACCAATCCAAGCAAAACAAGTCACTAATAAGGGCCCCGCATCAGAGTCTCCAACCGCAGCCGGGACCGGCACCTGTTCTTCGGGCCCCAGCTCTCAAGCCGGGTGATTTTTGAGCTGACTGGGTTCCACTTATATAACTCTTTCTCAGGTTTGTATGTTCATTCAAGTTTTTTGGCCACTTTCAGCGAGCTGGTTTTGTCACCACAAGCCATGGCTGGCGGTGCCGCCACATGCCCAAAAGCAGGGCCGGCCACGTCTCAGTCTGTGGGCCGGAAAAGGTCAGGAACAAAAGAGTGCGAAAAGCTGTTGGCAGCTTTGCTGCCAACTCGAGGTGTCAAACAACATAATCTTCAAAAATCATGAGCGCAGCGTCGGGATGCATCTGATGATGAATTTCCAAATTCCAAGCGTTCTACAGTATGGCGTTCTCATTCATGACCGTAGTGACCTTGCGCGCCCCAACATTCACGGAAGCCGTTGAAGCCCTTTTTCTGTGAAAGGGTGCAGTAGCTATCCACAGGCGAGAGGGTGGAGAACCAAGCACCTGGTAACTAACAGAGCACCCATTAAACCCACAGTAAAACCCCGCATGGCACGAAGTCCCCAGCAAAGGAAAGAAACCGAACTTGGATCGACCTCTTCCGCGAGTCCCTCGGTGTAAGACGACGATCTTCTCTCGGGAGTCCCTGCTCACGATGTCCGGCGAGGTCTTCCGTCGGATGGCTGCAATTTTGGGCCGTCGAATAGCAAACACATTCTCCGGAGATGTTCCTGTCCCAATTGGATCCAATTGGGCCACATTGAACCCTGCCTTGTGCTGATGTATCTATATAATTTGTTTGATGTGACCGCGCGGCAGGCGGCAGGCACGATGTTTGGTTTAGAGGAGGGGTTGGGAGATGGGGTGGCTAATTCATTTGCGATCATCAACACGAAATGTTTCATGCATCAGTTGACGTGCTTCAGGAACTTCATGTTGATCTGCGTTTCATGCATTTCATGAACCACAAACGTCCTTTTTGTTTCATGAGTTTCTTCTCAATCTTCGCTTCATAAGAGTTCATCTTCTCATCGAATTCGTGAACATTTTGGTTGTCCCGACAACAAATGCTGAAAGCGGAACATTTGCAGCGAAATGTCCGATTGCTGCGAGATAAGCAGTGCTTTTTCCCTGAAAACTGCCGTTGTAACGACCACGCCGAAAACGAAACATCGTCTCAGTAGATTAGATCCCTCGAAAAATGACCCATCGGATGAGAGTTTTGGGCCTGGGTGTGACACCATTGGGGGGGGTGGTGGCGGGAGGCTGTATTTGCTATTGTAGAGCCTCGCGCGCCAATGCCACAACGGTTGTTGTGTGAAGCTCTAATAAAAACATTCTCTCCCTCTCTTTTCCCGCTCATTAACTCAATGTTAGACATACCATGACATACTTATTACAGTACCTATTTGTTACTTGTGTGCAAAGGTCTTGTCAGGTACAATTGAAGAGGGTTAGCCGTAAATGGCTAGGGCCTAGGCTGCCGCGTGGGGTGCATCCCCTGAACACTGGAGGTCTGGAGGAGACGAATGTCTGCAAGTGAGGCAGGTGTAGGCAATACTGGTTTCATGGATGAATAAGGCATGAAGAAAAGATACCAAACAAACGTAGGAGTTGAACAAGAGATGGCAAATATGAAAGCAAGTAAGGGTATATACGGTAGTTTAAGCAGATTGTGAGAAAACAAATGACTGCCCAAAAGGAGCAAACAGCAGTGCATGATAAGGACGCAATGTATACGGGCAGAGTTGAGAGGCATTGAACATGCAGGAGAGGGGCAGAGCGGCTCATGAAGCACAACCAGCCCTGAAGGCAATCAAAGCTACAATATGGTGGAAAGAGAGGAGTGACATGGAAACAAGTTGGCAAGTGGAGCATCAGCTGAGCCATGTACATAGATAAGGGTGACAGTTGGAGAGGAAAGGACTAAACAGGATGGAACACAATGCAAGACAAGACCGCCAAAAATTACATACATTGTAACAGTTGTAGTTACATGAGGCAAACGCGAGAGCCGTTTTGACATGCAGGACGGTGCAAACAATCGCCTGATTAAAACACGTGTAAAAACGTGCATATACTGTATATATATGTATATATTAATAAGCAAGATCGTGCTTAAGACAGAGATGAATGAAGAGAAGAGAACAGGCATGGTGTCAAGGCCTACAAGGCTACCGGCTACAGGAGCCGTAACAGCGGAAGAGAAGGGGCACGGCGAAAAGCTTCATGGGGTAAAGGCGCAAATACCGGAGTTGTAGAAATTGCCAGCAAGGCTCAAATAGATTTATTGTATTATTGAACATTTAACCGATGTAATAAACCTTTTGGGACAAAGATGGACAAAGGGATTGGTACACGGGAAACCTCGGGCCATCTCCAGTCCCAAGACATTCAGCAAAAGAAACTCCATCTAGCTGGCGCCAGCTTTCGTATTCTTCGTGACATGCAATTCCTCCAGCCAAGTGGCAAAGTAACGTAGTTTGAAGCTTGAAGCACTCGAATTTGAGGTACTCCGTCCATGGCTACAACAGCTATGCCTTGCCAGCATTCGGCCATCATTGGCCTAAATCAGTCTTGAACTCTTGCCTTGGCTGCGCCAGCGTGGTTTGCCCGGCAATCGGGAAATGAGGAACATGAGGTGTATTGCTGGCACATCTCAGTAAAGCCTACAACTAGCCGAGCCAGAAAGCTAGCGCCCCGTAAGAAACTCTCTTGGCACGTCCCCAATTATAACTGCATATTATTAACAAATGGGTTGAGCTTGACATCTGCAGAAATTTGAGTATCGAATCTCGCTGCAGGCTCCTGGTGTACAGTAGGCTACAGTACCACGGTCACAAAAACTGTGGTTGCGTACTTCAAAAAGCTTTGGGCGGCCCAGGTCGGTGATGTCCCCTCTGTCTCTCAAACGCCAAGGGTCCGGTTCAATTCGTCCACGAAGGTGTTTGCATACTGAACCTGAAGAAGCTGGGCCATGCATGGCATGTGGCGCCTCTTGGTAAGCGATAGAATGTTGTGTCCAAATATGTCCAAATGCGAGGGTGGAAGGGCTTCCACTGGCTTTTATCCAGGCGAAAACGGTGGTGACCAATCCCTTCCAGGACTGAAACCAAAAAAGGTCTTGTCTTGGATGAAAGTGTATAGATCGACAAATCCTGACGGCAAGTGTCACAGCGCATTCTGCACTCGGCGTGAACGTGTCCGAGAACGTGATGACAAACGGACCCACACGATCGGCCTCTCAAACCGCAGCCCATTGGCTGAACGTCCGGCCCACGCGGTCGACCGGGTACGACGGCGCCGGATGCTGCCAGGCCGCGATGCGTAGAGCAGCCTCACTGCGGCGCATGAAGCGTTGGCAAATGTCACGGAAGCCCTGTGCGTCCAGCATCGCCAACTTCACGTCGCTCACCGCCGTCCTGGGAGGAACTGCAGCTTGGGCGGGGCTCAAAAGGTTTTGACCTTCAGTGTCTTCAAGGACCCTTGGAGTTCTATCTTTTCAAATCCTCTTGGATCCTTCTGAGAATCTCCATTCTGACAAGAGGTCACATCACACAAGCAATTTCCATGGGGCACAGGGTGTTGCTTTTTTCTCGATGCAAGCGTCAAGGTCCCTCGATGCTTCCAGTTGGTCCACAAGACCGCCTCTGCCACATAGGCCTTCTCTGTCACCTGTGCGAGTTCTCCATAGGAGTCTGTGTACTCCAAGCTTCCCGAGACCTCACGGAACACGTCGTTCCGCCGAAGAAGGTAGGTCCCGATTCCATCCCTGGATGTCGGTCCTAAACCCGAAGAACTTGATCTTATTTGGTGGTTGATTGAGGGTGAATCAAGGCCACCAGCACTTTCAAAAGACATACATGGTGGTCATATCCTACTCTCTCCTCTGGATTTTGCCTGTCTCACCTCTCATATTAACATGTCGCCCCGCTTTCCGGGCATTGCAGAAACTTCCAACTCAAGGGTGTTCAATTAGAATATGCAAATGCATGCATAAAACAACTATTCTAAATTCTAAATGATCAGGAGTTATACTGACTGTGGCTAGTGGAGCGCATGTTCGCAGCTTCAGCCATACTCGGGTTTCTTTTCTGCTACGGGCCCACCATGGCTCGTCAGAAACCGGTTTCGCCCAGCGGCTACGATGTACATCTTGGGCTCTGCAGGCTCTTCACCCATGCTGAAGATCACATCCGTGGTCGAAAGGAGGAGCATTGACATAGCACCTGACCGATGCTCCGAGATGCACAAAGAGCGTCCAGCTGGATGCATGATGACGCATGGCATGGGCCATCTTGGAGAAAGACTTGCGTATTTGTGAGGTCGCAGGGTAGTGGCTCTGGATTGCGGTAATAGGGTTCATTGACGAGGTTGGCCATGGATCGCCAAATGGTGTGAAGTCTTGAAAGAGCTGGCCGGGTAAGAATTCCAACTCTGTGCAAAGAAGGGATCCCACCATCTACCTGCCCCGTCTATCTTCTCCAGTGGCCACCTTAATTCCAGCCAAGCGTCGATGACAAATAGGGCGCATGATAGGGGAGTTCTCCTGCGCAGGATGTTGGGAGCGATGCGAGCTACACTACACTTCTTGCACCTTGCGGACTCCATCAGGTTTGGAATCGCATTCAACCAAGTTGGGGGTCGCATTCTGAAGCAGCCTACCGGGCTCTCCCTATTCTCCTGCAGCAAGTCCAAGAAGAATGGAACCCACATCAGCACTTGCGAGTACATGTCCTGAGCGCGTCACCATTGGACTCATAAAGTCCATGGCAGGTTTCTACCGCAGCTCAAAACGTGTTCAGTTGCACCCTCATGTCAAACCTGGATTGGCCAAACACGAAGGAAATGGAAGGAGCATCGAACTCACCCCAAGTATTTCCCCAAATTGTGTGACCGACTTCACCACAAACTTTAAAATGGGATAAAAAATAAGTGACGAACAATGGTGAACCCTCGCCTGAAGTCAACATCCGACGTCATTTATATATATATATTTATTTATTTATTAAATTATGTAATGAATGATTGTGCAACATGGTGAGCCGAACCTCAAGGTCTCCAGTCTCGTTTTGGTCTTTCTTGAGCGTTTTGTGTCCATTCACAGCTTCAGAGAAGCCTCTCGCACGAAAAAACGAAGACCAAGGCAAACATAGGCAAACAACCAACTTACGTGCCAGGCCATGTAGACGATCGGCTTTGGTGGTCTGCCATCCAAATCGATTCCACTTCTGTCACTTCCAACGTCTACCTGGGCCCTCAAGGAAAGCTATTTGAACGGTGAAATGTCTGAAAAATGTTGAAGCTCCGGCTCAAGCAACATATCATTAAAAGAAAGTAAAGAACATGCTTAATGTTTCCATATGTTTCCATGTCATGTCTTGTTGGCTCCAAAAAAGATCCACTCCAAGAACTCGAGATTCGAAGGCCAACTCCACCTTCAGCGGTTCGGAGATCACCGTCAGGAGCTCCACCGATTCCTGGCGGTTCAGGCCGCTCGGTGGATCGGTGAGATCTCGCGCCCCTGGAAGGGATCGCTTAGGTGATTTAGGAATAAATCCTCAGAATTCAAGGTGGGGTGAAAAAATAACTCCTTCCAAAATAAGTCCCTAGCATCAAAGTCTCATTTTCTAGGAGACCGTTGACAGCTGCAAAACAAACATGGATGGACATCAATAAAAACATTCTAGGAGCCTGCGGCTCAATGGTTCAAAATGCAATGTCAACAACGATGTCCTTTTCTTTGTTCCTCTCTACAGTACTTTGGTTACAAGGCAAGTGTCTTGGAGTAGAAAAAGGTGCATTCAGCAAAAAATAGAATTCAAGGTGGTGTCCAAGAATGACACCTTACAAAATAGTACCTAGAAAACTCTCTGTCCAGGTTCAGCTTCAGACTTATCAACGAGCAAAAAAATCAATGTCGCATTTTCTAGGAGAACATTCCTGGATTCCCCTGGAGGGGTCAGGTGTCTCTAGTGAATTTCTGGGAATTGATGAATGCATTTACTTAGAAAATGAGTCACCCAACATCGTGGATCAGCTTTGCATTCTCTAGTGAGGAACAACTTCAGCATTAGAAAATGCCGCACTTGTCTTTTTTCTGGTGGGTTTGATGCTTGAACAAAAACTTTTCAGGAGGGTGGCCTGTAGAAAATCATGGTGGTTGGGTTAAAGGGTTGCACCTCCTCATTTTCTAATGGCTTTGATGCTCGAGGCTGGCATTTTTCTGTGGGGTTGCCTGTAGGAAGTCCTGGTGGTTGGGTCAAGTTTCTAGGAAACTGCGGCTCAATGCTTCAAAATGTCAGTAACGATTTCCTTTTCTTCCTTCCTCTCTGCTTTCCCTAGAACACTGTCTGCTAGTCCCTAGAAAAAGCGTTTTCGGTTCCTGCACTGTTTCCCAACGTCCTAGAAAATGCAAAATCGAAGGACCATCACCTATCATGATCTCACTCAAATTACTGCCTAGAAAATGCCAAAAGGAACATGTTCAATCTGCTCGTTTGTAGAAAAATGCCATCAACTCAGTGCAAAAAAGTATATCGCTAGAAAAAATACCTGGGGTACCTAGGTCCCTGCATTTCCTAGGGGAAATGTAATCGAGGGATGTTTACATATTCTTATTATGTGTTTGGAAGGTTGGAGTGTCACTGGATGGGGTTGCGACATTGGAGAGTTGAAGGCAAGCGATGAGTTGGCGCTAGTTGAGGGGCAAATCCGCCGACCCCACACCGTGGGGTGAGGCGTGACTGTCGATGTTAGCCTTAGCCTTAAGCCTTAGCCTTAGCCTTAGACCTTAGACCTAGTCCTTAGCCTTAGACCTAGACCTTACCTCCCCTACCCCTCCGGACCCTTGTTGGAGTGACGAAATCCGGTCGAATTTTGCCAGGAAAGCGACCTGGATTGTCCAAGAATCTGCCATCCCAATTGATTTACATCTTGGGGCACCCTCTCGACCCGCGCGGGAAAATAAGCACGGTCCAAAATGGTCCTGGGCTCGAATCCCGGGCTGGTCGCGGCATGGTCCCGGCCAATGCCCTTGCTTTTTCAGCATCACGGGGTTCATGCAAGCGATGACGTCCGAAGGTAAATCTGGGCGGTACCCAAAAAGTCGACTTTTTGGGTACCTGCTTTGGTGATGCTGTGGTGGTGATGGGTCTGAACTCTAAGGCAACGATATCCGTTATGGGGAGAAGGGATGAGCATCACGGGGTTCATGCAAGAGACGACGTCCGATGTTAGCCTTAGCCTTAAGCCTTAGCCTTAGCCTTAGGCCTTATCCTTAGCCTCAGACCTAGTCCTTAGCCTTAGACCTAGACCTAGACCTTACCTCCCCTACCCCTCCGGACCCTTGTTGGAGTTACGAAATTGTGCCCTGAAAGCTACCTGAGCGACCCGGGAATTGTCCAAGATTCTGCCATCCCAATTGATTTACATCTTGGGGCACCCTCTCGACCCGCGCGGGAAAATAAGCACGGTCCAAAATGGTCCTGGGCTCGAATCCCGGGCTGGTCGCGGCATGGTCCCGGCCAATGCCCTTGTTTTTTTGTAGATTTTATCACGTTTTCTGTTGGTTTATGAGTTTTCTATCGTCTTTGAAATTAGCATGGTGGACCTAGGATACCCCATTTTGTAATATAAAACGGTTTTGGCCTTACAAAATGCAAGGCGTGCCTTTCTTCCAGGTATCTAGTTACTACAAAATGACTGTGTGCCACCACTGTCAAATGCTGTTTTCTTACAAAATGATGATCCCCGGAGGCAAAAAATAGGAGGCACAAGACATAGGACTTCTTACAAAATGATTGCTCCCAGAGACATATCTGTGCGCTTGTCGATAAGTATTTTTTACACATAGACATGACATAGGCATTTTATAGCATTTCAAGAATTACAGCTACAAAATGCATGTGCTCATATGTGATGTGTGTGCACTACACATCTCTTTCTTACAAAATGACGCCGCACACTTTTTTTTCTATTCTTTGCTCTCTTTGGCTTCTTCTCCAGCTCCCGGCCTCCCCCCGAGCTCGGGAACACGGAGATTGATGCATAGCTTTTTGCTATGGCTAAGCAGAATTTCTGCTGAACACGATGATCTCGTGTAAAAGGCGCAAGAAACCCTTTCTATTGGGGGTTTCCCGCGACAGCTGCTGTTTGATGGTTTCAAACAGCTTCTTGACGGCTTCGCCGTATCGGGCCGGTGATCTCAGACCCTTGTACCTGAGCTTGCACATTCTTTCTTTGGCTTAAGCAAGTGTACACGTCTTTTCATCGTAGTCATTTTGTAATGTAGTTCATGGTAGAGTCATTTTGTAGGGTAGTGTAAATGAAGGCTGTCCAACCAAATGACGCACATATCTCCAGGAATCTCAAGGACTTATATATACTTATAGTATAAATATATATAAATATATAAATATAAAAAACATAAATATAATATATATAAAGTATATTAAAGTATTATGATGCATTATGAAGTATCGTATAAAGACGTTTAATTCCGCTGAAGAACATCAACTCAACGCAAGCAGGAGCATTGTGCAGAATCTCATCCCAAGTGGTGTTCTTGGCCTGTTCGCTCCGCATCCGACAGTGTCCTGTGGTGTCAAAGAGCGGGTTCTTTGGAAATACCTCTGCATCTAAGTTCCGTAGAAGGCGAAGGTCCTCCTGAAGAAGCTTGCGGCCTCTCTCTGAGCGTCTGTAGTCGTTCGATCCTGGAGGATCAAGAAGGACTTCATCTGCCCCACCTGCCGAACCCTTCTTGTCTTTCACCTTCAACTTGCGCCCTTTGCCCTTTCCTCTGCCCTTCCCTCTGCCCTTGACTAGGCGCCGCCGCGGCACCCTGGAATTCGGAAGCTGGCTAGCTTCAACTGCATGAGAACTCTTCTGGCCACGACGCATGGTTGGTGTCACCTTCCATAGAGTCAGGCTCTCAACCTTGACCAAAGCCTCTGCGGACTTGGTGTCCAAGCAAACGTTGACAGTGCCGGTGTGCTCCTCCGGCATGTCGCCTTAGGACGCGCCAACCAGTTGTATCCAAGCTTTATAAAATACAAGGTTCATACAACACCCTTACAAAATGCCTATGTCTATGTGAATCCGCCAGTGGGGAAATTATGGAAACAATTGAAAACATTAACATTTGGATACATTTGGAAACATGGGAAACGGATCGAAAGAATGGAACAGGGTTGTCAAAACATTGTCAATGAAGTCAGAAATCAGCTTTCAACATCCAAGATCGTCACCAAGGCCTCCAAACGCACTGTCCAAGCAGTGGAAACCGAGCGAGCATACCACCTGGTTGGCGCGCTATTTCCATCACGCTTGCCCTCATCAAGCTGCAGGACCCGCATAGCAACACATGAGTTCACTGGGACCTCCCCTGCGTGTGGCTTTGGGTTCCGAACCCCCTTCCAGGTGGTCAGAACGAGACCAACACAGACGGTGCCTGCTGGAGTTTGGAAGAGAATGACGTTTCCCGGCCTGAGCACTCCAGAGAACCAAAGAAAGCAAGAAAATCTAAGAAAACTGATGGCCTCTACAAAATGCAAAATGCCCGAAATGCCACTACAAAATGGTTGGAACAATCCTTATAATGACTGATTGCACTTCATTGTCAAGAAGCATGATTCGCTCAGGTGGAGTGGGAGGTAGTTCAAGCTGTTGCTGTGCCTGCTGGACTAGCTCAATCCACTTGTGAACCCTTGACGTTCTGGAACGGTAGACCGGATTCTCCATTTCGGCTTCCAGCTCTGAGATTTTCATCGCATTGTACCTAGAGTAGAGTGGCAGGATCGCTGTTACTACCTAGACTGACCAAACGTTCCAGGCATTTTGTAATTGTCTTCCCCACATCTAGTCATTTTGTACAGTGATTGTATTCTTTTCAATGTCTGTATAGGCCCATTAATATTCCATCATGATCATTGAATTCCATTATATTCCATTGATATGATGAGCTTATAGTTGCACACATTTGCATGCATGTGCATGTGCCGAGATATTCAGACCCAGTGGCTGATACCAATTGAGGTTCTTCGCAGCTTTGCGGGCAGCACGTGCATTGGACAGAAATCTGGTGTCCATGCCGCCTTTTGTTGAACGAAGTCTCACACAAAACCGAAATAGTCCATTCCACAAGTCTGGTTGCTTGATTGCCTCACGAAGCGTGACAGGCAAATGATCTGAGTCTCCATTGCTTCTTGGGCTCTTGCTTGTCTCTGCTTTGAAGGGTTCTATGACATTCTCCAGGTTCAGCAGCTTCTCAATGTTGTCACTATCCGGAATAGGAATCTGCTCAAACACATCGGTGTCATTGGCGGCTTCCGTTTGCGTACCCCCTTCCTCTAATCCATCCCCGGCTGCTGTAGCGTCAGACCGAAGTTGATCCAACAAGTCCATGCACGTAGTCTCCGGCAAGGGAACTTCATCACCATCCTCCACTTCAAAGAAATCCTCTGTGGAGACCCTGAAGTTG